CCCCAGAAATTTTTGAATAAAGTAGATGCAATTTCCTGCATTTTGGTATATTTTAATGAGTTGTTATGCATCTATGCTTACCTAAATTTGTAAACACTACACTTCTGTCAAGCACCCCCCCACCACCACCACCACCACCTTACTTGCTGTTTCCGAGCCGACTCTTCTCCGCTGAATTCACTGTCCGACTCCACATATGAAACATCCATGGCCCATGCCCATGTACGGCTGTCTGGTTAGCTTGGTGGCTGTTGTATTTAAAATTAGTGTTTATGTAATTATTTTCATTTTACATAATCCAATATAAGATTTATTTATTCAAGGCAGTCAAATTTGTTCATAACTTTATTATTAATAAGCCTGAGAGTTACCGGATCCAAGCAAACACTTACTGGAACACACCCTTTCAAAATAAGAGTTCCCAGATCCTGTTCCGACAGGCTCATATTAAGTACTCTTCTTTTGTTTTTCCTTCATCTTGTCTTAATTCTTTTTATCTTTGTCCTTTTTGCTGATGTGCCTATTTTTTTATTTTTACCATTTATAAATTAATCTTTATTATTTTCTTTGATGTGTCTTTATTATTTCTTAGATTTACTGTTTATTATAATTTTTCCTTTGACATGACAATTTTTTTCATTAATTTATCTTCACTTTTATTTTTCCTTTGTCTTCTCTTTTTATATTTTATCCTTTTTCTGATGTGTCTATTTTTATTCATTTTCCATCCATTCCATCCATTTTCTTCCACTTATCTGGGGTCGGGTCGCGGGGGTAGCAGCTTAAGTAGGGAGGCCCAGACTTCCCTCTTCCCATCCACTTGGGCCAGCTCCTCCGGGGTTACCCCGAGGCGTTCCCAGGCCAGCCGAGAAACATACTCCCTCCATCATGTCCTGGGTCTTCCTCTGGGTCTCCTCCCGGTGAGACCTGTCCAGAACACCTCACCAGGGAGGCGTCCAGGAGGCATCCTAACCAGATACCCGAGCCACCTCAACTGGCTCCTCTCGACGTGGAGAAGCAGCAGCTCTACTCTGAGTCCCTCCCGGATGATTGAGCTTCTCACCCTATCTCTAAGGGAGAGCCCAGACACCCTGCGGAGAAAACTCATTTCGGCTGCTTGTATCTGAGATTTCGTTCTTTCGGTCACAACCCAAAGCTCATGAACATAGATAAGGGTAGGAACGTAGATCGATCGGTAAATTGAGAGCTTCGCCTTTTGACTCAGCTCTCTCTTCACCACGACAGACCTGTACAGCGCCCGCTTCACTGCAGACACTGCAACTATCCGCCTATCGATCTCACGCTCCATTTTTCCCTCATTCGTGAACAAGACCCCAAGATACTTGAACTCCTCCACTTGGGGCAGGACCTCCTTCCTGACCCGGAGAGGGCACTCTACCCTTTTCCGGCTCGGATTCAGAAGGAGCAGTGCAGTTTTCGTCCTGGTCGTGGAACACTGGACCAGCTCTACACTCTCAGCAGGGAGAGTTATTTATATAGTTATTTATAGAGTTTATTCATTTTGTACCATTTTTTTTAAATTCACCTTTCATCTTTCCTTTGATGTGTCTTTATTATTGCTTAGATTTGTAATAACGTTTTTATCTTTTTTTTTTTACATGTCTTTTAATTTTCTTTGATTTATCATGATTTTAGTCTTTAACATCTCTTTGGTTTTTGATTTATCTTGTTTTGTTTTTCCTTTGACTGGTCTTTAATTTTTCTTTGATTAATTATATTTTTATTTGTTTTGTTTGTGTAGTGTTTAAAAAGGAGCTGGAAAAGGATATTGCAGGAGACACTTCAGGAGACTTTGCCAAACTCCTGCTTGCTCTAGTTCAGGTACAACCAGAACCAACACTGATCCGTCTTCATCATTTGGTCTATCTACAAAAGTTCTGCTGTTTTTACCTGAAGGGACTGGAGCATGCACACATTGTTGACTTTTAACATCTGTTTTCACCTCCAGACCAAAAGGGACGAACAGTCCAACGTTGTGGACTACGAGAAGATTGATGATGATGCAAGAGTGAGTCTGAAAATCTTTTCACAACTTTTCATCCAGTGATTAAAAATGGTCTTTATTTGATTAAAAAACAACTTCTGTGTTGTGAATAATTAATTTCATTTATTAGTCTTTGCTGTCATTCCAAAGTTGAGGGGATTTTTCTGTTTCCGGTCCACTGGTTGTATCAGAAGTTCAGAACCAGCATGAACCCACTTTTTAAAACAGATTTTTACATTTTCTACTTTTATTAAAATGTTTTAGAGCTAACACTAGATGACCTTCATGGAGTCAGATTTGTTTAAAATTAGATTTAGCAAGATTGACATTTCAAGCTAATGAAGATCCATGAATTATTGCTCAGAATCCAGTTTTAGTTTAGTCAGTTTTAAAGTGTTTTCAGACTTGCTTTGTGATGTTTCATGGATCTGTCTTCAGTCTCTGTATGAAGCTGGAGTAAAGAGGAAAGGAACCGATGTGTCCACCTGGATCTCCATCATGTCTCAGAGAAGCATCCCCCACCTGCAGAGAGGTGAGACACAAACAGCTCCTCATCTGCTTCTTATATTTTACCTCCAAGCATCTAGAACGTCTTATATTCAACAAATAAATAAATAATTGAAAACAATAATTTTAAATTTATAAGTTATCCTGAATTTTTAAAAGTCTTTAATGTTTTTATTTTTATTTTTGGACGTTAGTTGCTTTTGTCTCCTGGTTTCAGAACATGTCTTGTGATTTGTGTTTGTCAGTGTTTGAGCGCTATAAGAGCTACAGTCCGTACAACATTAAGGAGAGCATCAGGAAGGAGGTGAAGGGAGATCTGGAGAAGTCCTTCCTCACTCTGGGTAAACAACAACAACTGCTCATGTCAAAAACTGAAACTAAGGCCACGTGTTGTTTTGTGAATATGTAAAAGTATTTTTTTGTTTCAGCATGAATCAACATAGAAACAGGGATTTTGGAGTCCCTTAACTGTATGTTTTAATTATTTGGGGTCCAGAGCAAGAAAATATTGAAACATCACCATTTTTTCATGTTGACAATCTAAACACTCTGAAAACATGAAGTGATAAACCCACATTCTGCCTAAACTATGACAGATGAACAGAAACATCACTAATGACAGATCATCTGATCGTGTTTCTGCTGCAAATGTTGGTTAACTATACTAAAACCTTTTTATCCTGCATTACTTTAATGAAACTAATGGATGTGATGTCCCCATCGTTCAGGGATTTGAGTAGTGAATGTTTGTAGCGTTCAAGGTTATTGTTATATTTGTCTTGACTGGAACTGAACATGGAATAAAAATAAATATTAATGTTTTTTGGTGCAAGATATTCAAGCAGGAAGGAGTAAAACTGTGGAGAAGAACAGAGGGAGGTTTGTTTGCTTGTCTCAGGAGGTGCAGAGTGATGGATCCTGCCCAGCGAAGGGAGCAAATTTATCCACCACCAGACGCAGTGGTGGAGCCGGGGGGTAGCCGTTGGTGGCCTAGGCCACCATAGATTAGTCTTCAGCCACCCCAGTCATTTGAAGAAACTATACTTTTAAGCAATATAAAACTAGAAAGAATAGTTGTCTCAAATTATGGGGTGGTTGGTTTATGGCAGTTCCTACTTGGATCTTGATGTGAAGCCAAAAGTATTATTTTTCTTTCAGCCGCTCCCTTCCTCAGGGGTCACCACAGTGAACTAAGTCACATGAAGACTTGGCAATTGTTTTTTACCTTCCTGACTCAACCACAGACCACCGAGCTACCACAGCCCTCTGTGTGGAGCAGAGCTGCCATCTTGGGTGCCCAGAGGAGCAAATGGTTGGGGTTAAGGGCCTTGCTCAAGGGCCCAGAGTGGGGCAAATGAGAGTGGAGGCAGGTGTGGGTGCCTCACCTTTCCCACCCACATATTGATGTTGTCGTTCTGGGGAGTTGAACCTGCGACCTTCTGATCACAGGCCCACCTTCTCTAACCTCTGCTCCACCACTCCCCTGATGTGAAGCCAAAATATTTCACCAAAATAAAAGTTGGCACGTTGCTCATATTAAAATTATCCTACTGACAAGTTTTAAATGTTTACACGTTGGTGGATTGGATTTTGACAAGGTGAGCCGTTGTAGCAACAATAAAATGGCACCTCACTGTTTTCCCTAAGTTGTCACGCTCACAACGTGCATGGATCACTGACAAACAGAGGGGGTTTCCATGTCCCACTCCACTCCATGAGACAGGGAACAAAAAGGAAAAGTTTTAAAAGCCTGACCCGTCTATACGTAAATGCTTTATCTTGATATGATTTAAGCTTTGTGAAGAAACCTCTTGTTCCAACTGTCTTTTCTGGACATTGTACCTAAAAATGTCCAACATGTCCACGTAGTTGAAATGACAGGACCCTCAGTCAAACGTGCCCTGCAGGTCGAGGTCAAAGTTCAACCTTGTCTTTTGTCTTCTCAGTGGAGTGCTTTGAGAACAAGCAGCTGTACTTTGCCAATAGACTCAACGAAGCCATGAAGGTAACGCTTGAACTCACCTGACACTGCAGCAGTCTGTCATTCAGGTCTCTCTTGTAAATGAGTCCTCGAGACTCACTGGGATTTACCTGTCTAAATTAAGATTGAATGAATGTCCGCCATGTTGACAAGGTGCCTGTGCTTTCATCAGAGTAAAGGAGCCAAGGAGAAAGTGGTGACCAGGATCATGGTGTCTCGCTGTGAAGTGGACCTGATGAAAATTAGGTCAGAGTTCAAGAGGCAGCACAAGAAGTCCCTGTATCAGACCATCGCTGTGAGTCACTGCAGCACACACTGTAATAATAATAATAATAATAATAATAATAATCATTTTATTTAAAAAGCGCCTTTCATGACACCCAAGGACACTTTACATTAAGAACAAAGATCAACAGGAATAAAGAATATAAAATATATAAAGAATATAAAATACATACAGAATATAAAATGCGTAAAGAATATAAAATACATAAAGAATATAAAATACATACATAATATAAAATACATAAAGAATATAAAATACATACAGCAAAGTTAAGGATAAGCGAGTCTAAAGAGATGTGTTTTCAGAGCAGTCTTGAATATAGAAAGAGAGGTGGTGTTTCTTAAGTCAGGGGGCAGAGAGTTCCAGAGATGAGGGGCAGAGCAGGTGAAGGCCCTGCTCCCCATGGTGGAGAGGCGGGCAGAGGGTACATGGAGGTGTAGTGAAGAGGAGGATCTGAGAGAGCGAGAGGGGATGGAGATGTGTAGGAGGTCAGATAGGTACGGAGGGGAAAGGTTGTGGATAGCTTTGAAAGTGAGAAGAAGAATTTTGAAGACTATGCGTGATTTAACCGGGAGCCAGTGGAGCTGCTGCAGGACAGGAGTGATGTGGTTATAGGAGGAGGTTTGAGTGATGACACGGGCAGCTGAGTTCTGGACCAATTGTAGCTTCTGGAGAGATTTGTTGGGGAGGCCATAAAGAAGGGAGTTGCAGTAGTCAATCCGAGAAGTCACAAGACTGTGAACAAGGATGGCTGTGGAGCGGGGTGTGAGAGGAGGGCGGAGACGGTTAATATTTCGGAGATGGAAATAGGCAGACCGAGTGACGTTGTTGATGTGTGAAGTGAAGGAGAGAGTGGTGTTGAGGATGACACCAAGACTCTTGACCTGAGGTGAGGGGGATAGCAGGGAGTTGTTAAGGGGGATGAGAAGATTTTCTGATTTTGAAAGAGAGTTTTTGGTACCGACAAGAATGATTTATGTTTTGTTACTGTTCAGTTGTAGGAAGTTGTTAGAAAACCAGTGATTTAGCTCATTGAGACAGTCGGTGAGGATGGAGGGTGGGTGGGTGGAGTTTGGTTTTGTTGATAGGTAGAGCTGTGTGTCATCAGCATAACAGTGAAAATGGACACCAAATTTACGGAAGATGTGACCTAGAGGAAGGAGGTAAATGATGAAGAGGAGGGGTCCGAGGACAGAGCCTTGGGGGACACCCGTGGAGACGGGGGAAGAGTGGGAACGAAAGGATTTGAGCTGAATGAATTGAGTGCGGTCAGAGAGATATGATTTGAACCAGTCTAACGGAGTACCCGAGATGCCAATGGAGGTTAGTCTGTTGAGGAGGATATAATGACAGATGGTGTCGAAGGCAGAACTTAGATCCAGTAAAATGAGGATAGATAGAAGAGCAGAGTCAGCAGCAATAAGAAGGTCATTAGTTATTTTTATTAGAGCTGTTTCGGTGCTATGGTGGGGGTGAAAACCAGATTGAAACTCTTCATAAATGTTATTGTTGGATAGGTGAGAGTGAAGTTGACTAGCAACGGCTTTTTCAAGAACTTTGGAAATAAAGGGCAGATTAGAGATTGGACGAAGATTACTGAAGTTGGTAAAGTCAAGACCTGGTTTCTTGATGATGGGGGTGATGGCTGCAGATTTGAAAGCTGTGGGAACAATGCCAGAGGTTAGGGAGGAGTGGATGATGTTAGTGATGATGGGGAGCAGAGACGGGAGACAGGATTTAACAAGAACTGTGGGAAATGGATCGAGCTGACAGGATGAGGACTTAGACTTGCTGATAATGTCAGCAATGTCATCAGCAGAGGGGAGGGAGAAGACAGAGAAGGGGAGGGAGGGAGGGAGGGGGGAGTTCAACATCGATGCTGGGGGCGGTATTTGGTCCAAGGTGTTTGTGAATTGAAAGAATCTTTTCATTGAAATAAGCCATCAGAGAGTTGCAAAATTCTGTGGAAACCATGTGAGAGGGTAATGAGTTAGGAGATGAGACTGAACGGTTAAGGATAGAGAACAAAGTCTTTGAATTGCCAACATTGGAACTGATGTCAGAGAAGTAGTTGGATTTGGCTTGAGAAATACTGTCCTTATACTGGATGATGTGGTTCGCATAGAGTTCCTTGTGAATTGAGAGACCGGATTTCTTATAGAGTCGCTCCAACCTCCAACCTTTGGATTTCAGAGAACGGAGTTCTGGAGTGAACCAGGGTGCAGAATTGGAGAAGGAGACAGACCGGGTTTTCAGAGGAGCGACAGAGTTAAGGATGTTGGTGAGGCTGTTATTGTAGAATGTGACAAGGTCATATGGGTTAAAAGAATTGAAGGTGAAGATGGTATTATTAATATGAGACATATGTCATGGTTGATATTCTTAATATTACGGAAGGAAAGAGTGCGTTGAGGTTTCTCTGAAGAAAATTTAAGATTGACACTGAATGAAATCATGAGGTGATCAGTAAATGGAAGTTCATCAGAAGAACAGCTAAGAGGAGAGAGTCCACAGCAGCATAATAAGTCCAAAGTGTGGCCCTTTATGTGAGTTGGAAAGTTAATGAACTGCTGGAAGCCACAGCTGTCGAGGCAGGATGTGAAGTCTCTGGTGAGGGGGTTGTTGTCTTCATCCATATGAATGTTGAAGTCTCCAAGCAGAATAATGTTGGGTGAAAGAGCTGAGAGATGGGCGATTAGAGCAGCAAAGTCATTTATAAAATTGTTGATTTTGGGCGGACGGTAGAAAGTGGCAACAATGGTGGGGGTAGGGCCGGAGAGTTGACACACAGTGTGCTCAAAGGAGGGAGAGGGAGGGGTGTGAACCGGCGTGACCTTCCAGTTCTCGCGGTGAATTATCGCGAGACCTCCTCCACGGCCGGACTCGCGGGATTTGGCGATGTAAACAAACCCCGGTGGGGTAGATTCATTCAGGTGGAAAAAGTCATTTTGTTGTTGCCACGTTTCTGTTAGACAAATAAAATCCAGCTTACGGTCGGATATTAGGTCTTGAATAAGCTGACCTTTTCCAGTGAGTGAGCGAACGTTCAGAAGGCCAAACTTTACGGAGGAGGAGTTGGTAGCGACCGGAGCATTAGCCGACCGAGCTAGGCTAGCTAACATGCTATTACTGTTAGCGGCCCGAGTATTGCGGCGTGTAGAATGGTGAGAGTCAGTCCAGATGGAGTTTATGGGGTTAGACTTGTCAGTGTGGAGTCTACGGCGGGAGCCACTGTGAATGTATTTCTGGCGAGGATGGAAGGCAATGTCCTGAAGAGGGAGCACAGGTGGCACGGCTGGTAGGAAACGAAGGCGAAGGAGCTCAACCGCTGAGTAATGGAGAAGACCAGACACCGGTTGGTGGTGGATGAGCAGCAGGAGAGTCCAAACCAGAGCAGGCAGCAGGTAAATCCTAATGAACTGCATGGTTGATATTGAGACGGATCAGAGACTTGGTGTAGGGAAAAGGCAGGAAGGACTGAATAAAACAGAAAAAAGCAAAAAAGCACGACGAGCAGCGGCAACCAAGATGCGCCAGTGTTCACTCACCGGAAGGAAGGGGACAGGCATTTTATTTTTTCATGAGCTGTATGCCATACAGGTACAGGTACAGAGTACAGGTCCTCTCTCACATCTTGGACAGAGAGGAACGATGGTTTGAGAGAGGAGTAAAGGAGGCCATCTTTGTGAAAAGAAATCGTCCATCATTAAACAGGGGTGGAGACCTCCGGGTTCAACTGTCCCCCTCTTACAATGCTGTGATTGCTAGTATCACTCAGCCCTCTGTGAACAGTAAACAGCCATCAGTGTGCTAATGATCCATTGTTAGGCTGATGGTCCTTCTTGAGCATGTGATCAGCTGGTTTTGTTTGTAGCAGCAAACTGGTTGATCCACTCTGAGAAGGTGCTATTTAAGAGACTGAGCTGAAAACAGCACCTCAGACTGAGGAAGTCTCTTGGATGAGAGACGAAACGTTTCTAGATTTTTTTGCTTTGTTTTGTTTTTTGTTTTTTTGAATGTCCAGAGGACCAGATTGAACTTTTTTGGATACTTTAGATATATTTCAAAATGGAGGTTTTCTGCTGCATCTCCAAGTTTCTGGTGACTAAAATTAATGGTTTTAAAAAGTATACAGATGCATGCTCAATAATCCAGGTAGAAAAATCTATCAAAGTTAAATCAGGTCCTCTGGACGGGTTCAAAAAACAAAAAATTGTAGAAAGGTTTTGTCTTTTCATCTGTTCACATGATGAAGGACCATCAACTTAACAACTGATAGTTATCACCCTGATGGTTGCTTGCTATTCACAGGGGGCTGAGTGATACTAGCAATAACAGCATTGTAAGAGGGGGACAGTTGAACACGGAGTCTCCGCCTTGTTTAACGATGGATGGTTTCTCTTCACAAAGATGTTAACAATCAATTGGCTGATGGTCCTCCTTCATCATGTGAACAGCTAGTTCTGGATGTCACCAACAAACTGGTTGATCCACTATTTGAAGGTGTTATTTATAAGACTGAGTTTGTTGCAGCACCTCAGACTTAAGGAGATTTTTAGATAAAAGACTAAACGTTTCAACAAGTTTATTTTTATTATTATTATTATTTGATTCAGTCCAGAGGACCTGACTTAACTTTGTTAGAAGTTTTTAAGAAGTGTTCTGAAAGCTCAGTTTGTGGCGACTCTGGGAACAGAAACACTGAACACAAGTGATGTCATTCTTACAGCCTCTCTTCATCCTGTTGTCATCAAACCTCAAAAGTTCTTCATGTCTGAGATGAAACTGTGATCAGGATCAAAGAGGAACAAAGAGCTGACCATGTTTGTCTTCTCTGTTTTTATACAGGTCCTTCTCAAAAAATTAGCATATTGTGATAAAGGTCATTATTTTCCATAATGTAATGATAAAAAATGAAACTTTCATATATTTCAGATTCATTGCGCACCAACTGAAATATTTCAGGTCTTTAATTGTTTTAATACTGATGATTATGGCATACAGCTCATGAAAAAATAAAATGCCTGTCCCCAAAAAATTAGCATATTTCATCCCACCAATGAAAGACAAGTGTTTTCAATACAAAAAACGCCAACCTTCAAATAATCATGTTCAGTTATGCACTCAATACTTGGTCAGGAATCTTTTTGCATGAATGACTGCTTCAATGCGGCGTGGCATGGAGGCAATCAGCCTGTGGCACTGCTGAGGTGTTATGGAGGCCCAGGATGCTTCGATAGCAGCCTTAAGCTCATCCAGAGTGTTGGGTCTTGCGTCTCAACTTTCTCTTCACAATATCCCACAGGTTATCTATGTGGTTCAGGTCAGGAGAGTTGGCAGGCCAATTGAGCACAGTAATACCATGCTCAGTAAACGATTTACCAGTGGTTTTGGCACTGTGAGCAGGTGCCAGGTCATGCTGAAAAATTAAATATTCATCTCCATAAAGCTTTTCAGCAGATGGAAGCATGAAGTGCTCCAAAATCTCCTGATAGCTAGCTACATTGACCCTGCCCTCGATAAAACACCAACACCAGCAGCTGACATGGCACCCCAGACCATCACTGACTGTGGGTGCTCCACACTGGACTTCTGGCATTTTGGCATTTCCTTCTCCCCAGTCTTCCTCCAGACTCTGGCACCTTGATTTCCGAATGACATGCAAAATTTGCTTTCATCCGAAAAAAGTACTTTGGACCACTGAGCAACAGTCCAGTGCTGCTTCTCTGTAGCCCAGGTCAGGCGCTTCTGCCGCTGTTTTTGGTTCAAAAGTGGCTTGACCTGGGGAATGTGGCACCTGTGGCCCATTTCCTGCACACGCCTGTGCACGGTGGCTCTGGATGTTTCTACTCCAGACTCAGTCCACTGCATCCGCAGGTCCCCCAAGGACTGGAATCGGCCCTTCTCCACAATCCTCCTCAGGGTCCGGTCACCTCTTCTCGTTGTGCAGCATTTTCTGTCACACTTTTCCCTTCCCACAGACTTCCCACTGAGGTGCCTTGATACAGCACTCTGGGAACAGCCTATTCATTCAGCAATTTCTTTCTGTGTCTTACCCTCTTGCTTGAGGGTGTCAATGATGGCCTTCTGGACAGCAGTCAGGTCGGCAGTCTTACCCATGATTGCGGTTTTGAGTAATGAACAAGGCTGGCAGTTTTTAAAAGCCTCAGTAATCTTTTGCAGGTGTTTAGAGTTACGTCATTGATTCAGATGGTTAGGTTAATAGCTTGTTTAGAGAACCTTTTCATGATATGCTAATTTTTTGGGACAGGCATTTTGGGCTTTCATGAGCTTTATGCCACAATCATCAGTATTAAAACAATTAAAGACCTGAAATATTTCAGTTGGTGTGCAATGAATCTGAAATATATGAAAGTTTCATTTTTATCATTACATTATGGAAAATAATGACCTTTATCACAATATGCATTTTTTTTTTAGAAGGACCTTTATGTTGGTGATGTGAGTATCCTCACCACCTCAGAAAGTCTGTTACAGCATTTTACTGGAACATCCTAAAGTGAGCAGTTGGAGATGCCAACCCAGTGACTGCTTTCTGAATGTTTCTTTCATTTCATTGATTTATGAGATATTTTGCTAACAGACAGACAACAAAGTAACCAACCAAAGCAGATGGGTATTGTTTGAACACAGATTACAGAGCTTGCAGAAGTCCAGCTGGCTGACTGTCACTGATCGTCTGTCCTGCAGGAACACACCAAGGGAGACTACCAGAAGGCTCTGCTCAGCCTCTGTGGAGGAGACGACTGACCGCTGCGCAGGAGGCCAGCCGAGCGTCACACACTGCGTGTATCTCTGCAGCTCATGTTCAAGGCAATAATAAAGATGTGACCAGCAGGGGTCAGCAGAGATCTGTGTGTCTATTTCTGTCGACAGCAAACACAAAGATGAGCAACGATGGAGAAATTCAGATAAAGAATTGGAATTTATTTAAATGTTTCACAGAAATCCATGTTTGATTAAAGCGATGGTTTAACATCACACTGCATGAATGGTTCATGGCTCAGCTTTATTCTGGCTGATTTCAAATACAAACATGAAAATAATTAAAGTACGGCTGTGGCTGAGTGGTTAGAGCAATCGTCCTCCAGTGGGAGAGTAGGTGGCTCAATTCCAGCAGCAGTCACATGTTGAAGTGTCCCTGGGCAAGACACGGAACCCCTCATTGCCTCTGATGTGTGTCCCATCAGTGTATGAATGTGATAAAGCTCTGATTAATCTTTGTGTAGATCTAGTAGAGTGCTGTATGAATGGGT